AGGGACGAAAAACAAAAAAATAATTTTGCTGGGATGTAAAACAAAATGTACTATATTTGCAGGGACTAAAAACATATTTAAACCTTAATTAATTAAAAAACGTTATAGTAGGGACCCCGTGACTCTGTTTTTCTGGGTCCGCCACTGTGTGCATGAGATACATTACTATGTATTAAGAATGCCAGAGCAACACGTATTACGTCTAACTTGGCTCATCCCCAGCGCATTGTGGCCTGATGCCATTATAACTTCCGATAACTTTTGTATTCCAAGTGTTTTTATGAATATGTCACATGCTTAGATTCTTAGGAATTAGAATGATATTCAGAGAGCTGACTTACTTATTTGCAATCTAACACTTTTATATAGTCAAGGAACATCATGACCTCTTATGTAGAGATTGTTACAATAGTTTCCACTAAAATTGACTACCCTTTAGCAACATAAACAGCCAAGGAAGCAAAAGATAAGAATATCAAAGTGTTTTTTAGTATAAGATTTACTTATTATACATAGGCAAGACTTCTTGTTTTGGTGTTACTAGTATATATACTATCAAAGTATCAAGTTTTTTTTCTACATATGACATTTATTTGAAATAGGATACTAATTGTTAGCAAATGACATTGAGCAAATCAGTGGGCAAACGAAAAGAAATGATCCTGATTAATTCTTATCAAGGTTTTAAATAGCGGCCCGCTACCGCTATAGCGGCCGCTATATAGCGGTTGCGGTAGGGGCCGCTACGCGCCGCTATTTCGTTGTGATTTTCAAATCACGGGAAAAATCCGCTACGGCGCCCGCTGCAGCCCGCTATTGGCATTTCCGACAGTACGTCACGAACGGGTTGATGTGTAAATGTGTCTATGTTGTGTGAATGATGTGAAAAAATACATTAATGGTGATGCGTGGAGTGAAACTCCAAATGAAATGTACATCTATCTACATTATGGTAGCAAATATTAATACACATGTAAATTATAATTATTAAAGGCAAATTAATTATTAATAAAGATGATTTAACTTTAATATCGATTGACGAAAAAAATGTTGACTTAACAAAACAATTTGGAATGGTAATGGTATTATTATGGATTATGCAAATGAAATTGGAAATGGAACACAAATATGTATTATTATTAATTTGGAAATGGACTTAACATAAATTGTTTTATTCGTTTTTTTAAATACGGTTTAATAAGGACACTAATCTTACTTTATTAAAACGTTTAAATTACTCCGTACCATCATTTGTTGACTACCTAGCTATTATTAAAAACTACCTAACTAAATTGTCACGCTCCGGACCTACCCGGACACGTCAACAACCCGCCGTACAATACGAATAGTCAACCGCAGTCCAACACATTCATATTATACAAGGCGTCATGAATATCATTCACACGTATAACATCCATAAACAAACATAATAAGTAATTCATAACGCAGCGGAAAACATTGTTTAGAACAAAAAGGCCACACCGGGCTATTCATGAGCACGCAGGCTCTATAGTAAAATATCCATGAGCAAATTTATTAATGTTTCAAATAGAATGGAGGAAGCACGAACCAAGTCTTCTCTCCGAGGAATCACTCGATCAACGAGCACAGGATGCAAGCTCTAGCCTCAACCTGAAATGGTGGTGGGATGCCCCCGAAGGGGTCAGTACTCTATACGGCTATAAAGTACTGGTGTGGCAGGCATCTAATAGATATACAACAAGTATTTCAAACACAAGACCCTCAAATAGGGTGATAGTACATTATGATTTGTAACCCTAAGTTACCCCGTTTGAAAATATACTTACTTTATGTAAAAGTCAAGTAGTCGGCCCGTGGGCCCATGTTCATTTAGAAATCACCGTTCCCATTCCCCGTGGCTATAAGCCATGACAACTCATAGAGTCCAACCCTAACACATGACATTGTATTCTAGAGCTCGGCTCTACCACATCACCATACAATTCATGTCACTTGGGTCAATTTCCTTACCTTGCGTTCTAGAGCTCGGCTCTATCACATCACCACGCAAGCCCTAGAGCTCGGCTCTAGCTATTCAATACATAGACTACAAGTCTACCACCTTACCATGCATCCTAGAGCTCGGCTCTATGACATCACCATGCATGAAGGTCCAATTCTTAAGCAACCCTATGCCTAGAATTGACATATCAATAAACTACCATGGGTCATCCTTAAAGACTTCCCACCACTTAACCTTAGTTTCATACTAAGTCATCACATACAATTGAAGTATATTCAAGTGCATTTCATACAATCCAATCCCTAGGATCAATTCCATCAACAATTTCCAATAATCACTAACTAGTATTTCAATACTATTAAGATTATTGTTATCATACATATATGCTCATTATTTGTAATCCTCTACATATTTATAATTATGTAGCAGCAACTTAAGTGTTCAATCTCAATACATAAACATTCATTTATGTATCCACATAATTCATACATGAGTAAAATGCCTATTTCACAAAATAGTTCATTCATAACTCATTTAATCTCATTTTATTCATACATTCTCAAATCATTTCCAATTTCATTCTTTGGCAACTATATCCATATTTCATCATTATATAATCATCATAATCCATAAAAATTATGATTTTGGCATTTAGGTAATCTCATGCTTAACCTACAAGTTGTAAGCAATTAGATGTCAATCCTCACCTCAAATGAGCTTTAAAACTTTCCTTCTCGATCCAATGACCAAAGTAGGGGTGTAAATGAGCCAAGCCGTTCGTGAGCCGCTCGCGACTCGCTCGGTAAAAACTCGGTTCGAGTTCGGTCATATTCAAGCTCGACTCGAGTTCGGCTCGGCTCGAATACTTAACGAGCCCAATTCAAGCCTATTTATTTTAGGCTCGTGGCTCGCGAGCCGGCTCGCAAGCCTTGGTGTTTATGTGTGTGTATTCTATTATTATTATTATTATTATTATTATTATAACAATAGCACCACAAGTATTGTTAATGTTAATGTTGAGAACTCATATGAAATAAGTTACGGAGTAATAATTACATAAGCTCAAATTATTCACAAATGGGTTTGTAGTTGAGTGGAGTTTTCCTTACAAAGTTAGTGTTGCAACCTAGGTTCGAATCCCCTTGAAGCTAAATTTTGCTTCATGCAGCTTCGAGCCGAACTCGAGCAGATTTCGAGCCTAGGTAAATACATCGAGCCGAACTCGAGCACTAGAATTTGAGCTCGTTCGAGCTCGAGCCGAACTCGAGCACGGCAAATATTTTCGAGCTCGAGCTCGAGCCTATGTAAGTTCGGGCTCGGCTCGGCTCGATTACACCCCTAGACCAAAGCCTCGGCCAAGGAAGCTTGAGAACTGATTCCTTGCTTATATATGAGTGTTAAACAGCCTCCTCAAAGTGCTAGTTCAACCCCCAATCGTCGATACAAAAACAGCCCCTAGAATGGGTGTTTTCCGGTTAACTCGTTTCCTAGTTTTTCCAAGATTTGCTCTAGGTTAGTATCTAACCTTTACATCAATAAAATAACTTTATAAAGACATATTATACACTTGGATTAGTGTACAATAGTTCCACCAATCGTTCATATCATTTGGAAAATGAAAGGAAAGGTTTTGGGGTTAACAACTCACTTTAGAAGTGTGGATCCGTTTCTGCGAGGTTGCGTTTTGCTCGGACGATTTGGAGGCCTTCCACTACTCCGATTGATGAAAACCAGACCTTCACGGATTCCTTGTCTTGAGAGCGTTCTTTTGGTATCTTACTCGCCTTAATTGGATTGGTATAACTCGAGATATCAACCAAACAGCTTCAGCACTCTCACTGCTCGAGTTTACAGACAGCAGTTCACTCCAGCTCGGTTTTTGTGGGATAAACTCTCCCTTCTCGAATAGAGACCACTCAAATAAGAAACTAGACTTCAAAGGATATCCAAGGACACCTCATTCACCTTATTTGGTCGAGCATAACATCACTCATGGAGGGAGACAACCAGCACCATCCCTTTTGTGCGAAAATAGGCTAGGTGGGGTTCCCTCTTGCTTCCTTTGTCAAGTCCAGCCCCTAAGTCAGCTATGGCAGCCTCCTAACATTATTTTTCTTGTCTTGCAGGTGGAAGGAAGAGATGGGGCGCAGCATGTTGTTCCCCAATTATTTTGGGAGCAAAAATATTAACTAATACATCCAAAAATGGAAGAATGGGTCCTATTGTTTAATCTTTTGTCAAAAGATGTCTTTTTTGTACTCATCCTAATTTATTTAGAACAAGTTAACTTCCTACATCATATTATTGATTCCCAATATGTGTAGGATCATCCCAATAATTCATGTGATGAATATTATAGAAGAAAAAACCCTACTCCCATTATTTAGCTCCATAATGTCAAAGATGGGACCATAGACATTTGTATTATTCTTTAATCATTCTATCACTTATTTTGACATTTGTCATACATATTATTGGGCTACTAGCCGTGTGGGTCACTCCCGAGTGGGTCCAGGACGCCATTCTCGAATACTTGTTATTTTTAGCAGGTTGGGCCCAAAATAATGTTTGGGTCGCCCGACCTTCCTCAAATTGTCTTGAAAGATTATGTATCGCTATTTAGATAATGTTGGGCTCCTTTATTTATTAATAAGTCCCGAATAAGTATTTGCAAAACCCGACACTAATATACGAGTTTGAACAGTACGATATTCAATCATGCACTACGTAAAACATTAACCGTTTTACAATTGTTTGAAAATCGGAAATTCAATACATTCAATTTAAATTTTAAATTGAATTTTCAAGGACGTTCGGGTGCGGTGTCACAAAATTACTCCGTCCCCTACTTCACTAAAATTAAAAGTTGGTACCTAGCCACTTGCTATTATTATGGAGTATGGGACCAAGCTATTATAAAAGTATGACTACCTCCAACTTACTCCTTAGTCCTTACTGCATGCGTACACCATAAAATGTTAGATAGAACTATAGAAGTACTATATAGTTACTCCATGTGTACTCCAAATTCCATACTCCACTTTTCAAGTTATTGCGTTCTCTTTTTTTCATGCAAGCTAAGTTAGTTCTGTTATTTTCTCCTTTTTTTTATTTGTTTAGGTGTTAAATTTGTATTAAATCTCTACAATGCCACCAAGAGAAGAAAATCAAGAAATATTCCCCACAACAAGTGTTGAAGGTGCTCCAAGCACAGACATTGGATGGCACTTCGGAAAGCCAGTTAGAGAAAATCGGAGCCACGTCCAATGCAAACTCTGTCAAAGAGTTTTGAAAGGCGGCATCAAAAGATTGAAGGAACACATAGCACACAAGAAAGGGCAAGTTGCGGGTTGTGCTAGAGTGACCACATTCGTAAGAACAAATATGATGAACCTTCTTCTTGATGGAAAGGCCAAGAAAATAGACTCAAAAAAAAAAAAAAAAGAATTTGAAGCACGCTTAAGAGGTGAAGATGATGATGAAGATGAGGATGATCCGGATCATAATCTTAGAGAACAAAGGTCTCGTGATGTGTCTTTTCAGTTGAGGTCTAGTAACATTGATCTTACACGGAGCAAAAGTCAGAAGCAACCAAAGATCAAAGGAGGCTTCATGAAGACGCTGAGGAAAAAACTTGGAGATGCTGTAAGCAAGTTAACAATTCATGAACGTTTACCTATGAATTTAGCTAATTCTCCATGGTTGAATAATTTGATTGTTGCTGCGGCTGAGGTAGGTGAAGGGGTCAAAGGCCCAACTCCTTATGAAATCTCTAACATATATTTAGAGAATTAATATAATGATATGTGTGAGTGGTTGAATACGTTGAAAGGTTCATGGAAAGAAAGAGGGGTGACAATAATGTGTGATGGTTGGACTGATAATATTAGTCATACTCACATTATGAATTTTTTAGTGCATAGTAGTAGAGGCACAATTTTTCTAAAATCGATTGATGCTTCTAATGTTTCTAGTAGAAATACTGATTACTACTTTGAGCTGTTAGATAAAGTAGTTGAAGAAGTAGGAGAAGAATTTGTTGTACAGGTGGTTACAGATAATGAAGGGGCCCTAAAAGCAGCAGGGCGAAAATTGATGGAAAAGAGACCACATTTATATGGCTAAAATACATTTTTAGTCCCTGCAAATATGGCACACTTTGTTTTAGGTCCCTGCAAAATAATTTTTTTTGTTTTTCATCCCTGTAATATGCACCATTTTGGTTTTAGTCCTTCTAAAATTTCAAAACCACTCTACTCAGAAAAAAATTTATTTCTTGTTGCATAGATTTACTAGAAATATTTAAATTTGTCCTTTTATAATTTTTTTGATGCTAATATGAGACTAAAAATAATTTAAAACTAAGTATTCACATTTTAAAAATATATATCAAAGGCCTTCATAAAAATAAAATAAAATATTTTTTTAATAACATGACAAATAATTACAGGAAATGTATTAGTCAGGGTTATTTTGAAGTCAAGCAAAGATTGTTATCATCAGTGATGGACTAAAACGAAAACTAGCATAAATTGCAGGGACGAAAAACAAAAAAATAATTCTGCTGGGATGTAAAACAAAATGTACTATATTTGCAGGGACTAAAAACATATTTAAACCCATTTATATTGGACTGCTTGTGCAGCTCATTGTATTGATCTATGTCTGGAGGACATAGGGAAGAAGAAAAATGTCCAGAAAGTATTAAGTGATGGCAAGATTGTGACAACTTTTATCTACAATCACACTTGGACAATAAATCTGATGACAAAATATACTGGAGGTAGACAAATTGTTCGGCCTGAGATTACCAGATTTGCTACACAATTCTTACAAATACAAGCAATTGTGGAGCAAAAAAGAGGTTTAAAAAACATGTTCAACTCTGAAGAATTTAGACGATCTAAATTTGGGAAAGAGAAAAGTGGGCCGGCATTTGAAGCCAAAACAATTGTTCTAGATAATAACTTCTGGACTAAGGCGAATGACATTCTCAAAAAGCGTGGGCTAAAATGAATCCAGGTAAAATTTTACTTTTAATTGTATATATTTATAAATATTAATATACATTTATTAAATATTGTCATAGTTAAAAAAGTATTTAAATAATTCTTTTGTGATCTTTTTTAAAGCTGAGTGGTGGATGATATATGGTGGATGTGCTCCAGAACTTAAACGTGTTGCCGTAAAAGTTCTATGTCAAACAACGTCAGCAACAAATTGTGAGAGAAACTGGAGCACATTCAGCTATATACACACCAAGAGCAGGAACAAATTGAAGTATAAGAAGTTGCAAAAATTAGTCTTCACCCAGTACAACATGAAGCTTAAAATGAGACATCAGATGAGGAGAAGTCAAGAAGAAATCGAGGAGAGTTTTAATCCGATTAATCTTGACTATATTTTCGAAGAAAGTGATGCATTATCTCCATGGATTGAGGAGAGGGAGAATCCATTATTAGACGGACTGCAAAATTCTTCATGGTTGCCTTTGATGGACACCGATGATGAAGATATGGAAGGCAGAAATGATGATGATGATGATGGTGATGGTGATGATGGTGATGATGGTGATGGTGATGATGGTAATGTAGGATTCGGGGACCCCAATAATGATGGTAATGATGACACTGCGAGTGAGATTCAGACAGACTTCCAACCCACGAGGCGTTATAGGAGTTTAATTGATATGACTACCGATCATCCTTCATTATGCGAGAGTAGTGGAACCGGGTCAAATAGGAGAAGAGGAAACAGACATCATAATGTTCCATTAGATGATGCATCATATTCGAGTGTTGGAACGAATTTCGGTTATAGTGGTAATGATGAATCTTCCAGTAGTACTCACTATTATGTGCCATTTGATCAGTATCCCAATGTCACCTCTTATGATCAATATGGAAATGATCAAGCTTCTTCATACTACCAACCATCCACATATCAAGATCCGTATTACCAAGAAACAAGTGGTGGATTATATGATTATGTTTTCATACAAGGATATTATCAGGATGATGGTCAGAGTGAAAGCAGAGGTTGTGATCCCCCACGCCACTCCACCATGTGGTAGGAAGAATAATGTAAGTTACTACATTTCTTTTAATAATTATTATTACTATTATTATTATTATAACTATTTTTTATTATTATTTTTGATTTATTAATTTATTTGACTTATCATGTTTTTTTTGAAGGGAAGTTCGCACTGAAGATGCATTTGTAGGTGGTGACGATGTAGTATTTGAAACTTTTTGTAACGTATCCTTTAATGTAACAATCTATTTAATTTAAAGATGTGTTAAGACTTGTTTAGTTTGAAGACAATTTCATTGTGTCTGTAATAAATTATTCAGTTTACCAATCGTTTTAATTATCATTCTCTTTTAATTGTCATATTCTTATTGGTTTATTAGTTGTTAATGTTATAAGTGTTAAAACAAATATTCATAATGTTTGTATTAACTTCAACACTCATTAAATATATGTTTTGCGCAATTGAAAATATTTCACGCCGCTGCAATCGTTACAGTCGGCTACAGGCCGCTACCACGATGACCGCTACCGCTGCCGCTACGGCTATTTAAAACCTTGATTCTTATTAAGTGTTTACTAATTACATTGTATGGTTGCAATGTCAACTTACTATACTAAAATATATTGATCCTGATTGAAGCATTAAATTGGAAGAACAACGATCAAGCCCCATTTTATGAGAAGGCATCAATCGAAAAATCTAAAAGCCATAAAATATCATTGGAAGAAGAAAAAAGATTTTGACTAAATTCAAATATTTGCCTGCGGACGGAAATGAGCGGCTTTGAGATGCTTAGAGAATTCGATTAAGCCTCAGTTTAGGTGGTGGGTATGTAACCAATTTGTTCTCTGTTGCATGGGGATTGACCATAACCTTGGCGTCGAACGTCTTGGTGGCGCCAACGGATCCTGTGGCGGTGATTTTTCGACCTGGTGTAAGCCTTTAAGATGTCATAGAAGGTGAGCTAGCCATGGCTACCAAAACACCCGCACCTTCTTCTCTTTGCAGTGACGGAAGCTAGATATCGGTTGAAAAGGCTCGCATCGTCTGTAGGAAAAAGATCGAAAAGAGATATGAATGAAAGAAATGAAGAGGAAAGAGGATTACACATTTATAGAAGGAAGGCAAGAGATAGGTGATGCTACGTTGAAGGAAAGAAATGTGAATGAGGAAGATGTGAGCGAGAAGGTCAGAGATAGGTGGAAGTGAATTAAACGGTGCCGATCATTTTAAATGAACGGTATGGATGAATTTGTATGGCTATAAGTATAGAAGATTTTGTAGGTAAATTCTTTATCAAGTTTAGTCTTTTGTTATTTTTTCCTTTTGTTCAAATCAAATATTAGTCAATCCCTTTATAATGTCACCTAAGGTTGTATTCATAACTGTCATTACTCTCCTATAAACTACTATACATATCTTAGAATCAATCCAGTAATGGTGAGAGATCAAATTAGGTTAGAGCAAGAAATTTTATCCTTCCATTTAATTGAGACTCTCCTACATAATAATTGTGGCTGTAAATATGGTCTTCATTGATGATTAAAGGTGTTTTTTTTACTGCAAACTGATCATGCTTTATTATCTGAAGCGAATCAAGACTTTTACAACTAACAAACACGTCAAGGTATCCCTCCTTCTAGACTCGTAATAGCCATAAGCCCCGCTCACTCTCTGATCAAATATACAAAGATCCACCCATACGTGAGCAACACCTTTCGCTGAACGTGCGAGAGATTTGAAGCAACTATCGGCACTAAAGGCCACAATACATCTCCCCAAATAAGCAAACCTAACAACCCCCACAATACTCAAAGACAAGATTAGAGTTTGAAAATAAAAAGAGAGAATTTCACAAATAGGAGTAAAACATAGCCAAAATGCAAAAATAGGAGTACCATGTATTGAATAGGAGTAACTTTAGTGTTTGGACAAGTATAACCCTACTCAAGCCCCAACAACGTTCATTAATAATTAAAACATAAAAGAAATAACATTAATTAATTTATAATAAAATTGCAAAAAAAAAATGCAAAAATATATATTAAATAAAATTAATAGAAATAAAAAGTATTAAAATAAGAAAATATTAAATAAAATATCAAAAAAATAAAATGAAAAAATGAAAAAATATAAAAAAAATATCTAGGCGTCTGCCGCCGCCTCAACAACCCCCCTGCACCACCAGCTCCGACCATCATGATGGCAGTTTTAGAGAAAATTTGACATTTTCATAGAGTAAAACTGTCACCTTTATGACATTTTAAAAGAAAGATGACAATTTGTACATAAAATGACATTTTTTTTGCCGATCAGAGGTGGCATTACTGGGTGATGGACGAGGCTGCGGGAAAGGCATGGATATTTTTTAAAATTATTTAATGTGGTTTATCTATTTTTTTTATTTTTAAAGTTTTTTTTTAAAATAACTTTCTTTAAATTTTAATATTTTAATATTTTTTAAAATATTTTAGAATTTTATTTATATTTTAATAGGATCAAATAAGTCATATTTTAGAATTAATTATGTTAGGGGTATTAAGGGTAGAAAATTAATATTTACTCCTATTGAAGAAAGTTTTAAGTTTTACTCGTATTTGTACAATTATGTTTATGTTTACTCTTATATTAGACAATTTCTAAAACAAGAACTGTTGGTCCCAGTTTATGCAGACTAACGATCAACTAGATGGTATTCAACGATTAAACAGAAGAAAAGAAGATCTGATAATGATAAGGCAATATCGAGAACAGAGAAATTCTTCTTCTAGTTTATCGAGAACTATTTGGGCAGCGTAAGGCTAAAGCCTAAAAGTGTATTGATCGATATCGGCACCTGTACACAAGGCGCATATTTATAGGCGCTGTACAGGTTACCGATTTAGGTAAACCTTGGAAGTTGGGCCAAGGCCTTTTTGGGCCTTATTCCCTTTACCTTATTTATTACATAATAATACTAATCTAATGCCATAAATGGTATAACTAGTCTACTTTATTAAACAAGACTTAACAGACAAACTTGACCCACAATAAAAGTTCTAACAATCTCCCCCTTTGTGGTCAAGTGCCGTCTTGCTGGGTTTCTTCACTTCTGAGCTTTGTAATAGTTCTTTCTGAGGTTTAGCGTGTGCTCATAGCTCCTGAGTGAATTTCTGTTCTCAAGTTGTGTCTTTATGGCTTTTAGGATATCTTCTGTTCTTTCCAGCTCCCTGAGTTCATCCTTTGTAGCTTCTGTTGACTTCTTGACGAGTTCTTCCCTTTTTGATTGCAATCTATTTCTGATGATCTTTAGTGTCCCATCGCAATATTTGTTTATTTCACTGACAAACAAAAGCCGCTTCTTTCCTTCATGATTCAGATAGATGACCGAGACTGGGTTGTCAAAGATGTGATCTTCTGGGAAGTCTTCTATCCCTGGTCTGTCAAGGTCTGGCTTTGTTAGATTCACTTTGGGATAATTCATTTCCAGGCCCATCTGAAGATCATGACCTCCATGATAACGAATTTGTCTCATCATGAACCTTTTTATGGCTTCAAAACCTTCCTTTGCAAGTCTATCTTTATGGACTGGTAGCTCTCTGCATCTCATAAACATTTGATAGACGTCGTCCATATGTAACAGAAAGAAATCATTTTCTTGACAGGTGAATGTTGATCCATCAGTTCTCTGTAGGTGAAAGACCATGAATTTGATCTTCTCCAAGTATTCTTCTGTTACTTTCAGGATTGTTTGTACTGGACATCCGCTTGTTGCAAGATTATGATTCAAAGTTTGTCGTCGTTCTCCTGTGGATCTGTGTCCGAGCATGTACAAGTTTCCACCTCTGTCTCTTCCTTTGAGGTGATTGATGCCACGCATCCTAAGTTCTCTGTAGGTCTTGATCTTCTCAGGTGTGCGCCAAATTCGTTCTTTGATTTCTTCCAGAAAGGGAGTCGTAATCCTGACACTGTCCAGAGGTTTCGGAGTAGTCTTTTGTTTAGTGATAGATTTAGGCTCCTTGTATTTTTCTCCTTCTTTTATCTCATCATTGTCGAGCCCAATCATTTGTGCATGATATTTATTGAGAAACTCTCTGAGCTGCCAACTCCGACACATTTCGTACTGCTCCGCCTCCACTCTAAGATCATCCCATTCTGTCCACTGACGGGGCCATTTGTCATAAACAAGAATTTCTTCAAGTTCATCGGGTGTTTGATCATCGTGTTGGCTGGAGGGATCCTGCTGCTGCTGTGGCGATATGTCTGGCGTAGCATCGGGATCCTGGTGAGACTTGCAGGGATCCTCAATTATCTCAACACGATGCTCTTGCGCAGAGACCAGACCTCTATACTTCGTTACATGCGGCCAATCCTCCCTTGGCTGAGAAAGTGAAACACCGGGATCCTCAGGATTGCCCGTTGACATCAGTTTCGAACTAGGTTCTAACTGATGGCCTGAGTAGGAAGATGTACTCGTGGTAGCATCATCAGGACTTCCATTCCGTCCTTGGTTAACATCTATAGGAGATGCACCTCGGGATGTTACGTCTAGCTCGACCATGCTAGAAAGAGTGGCTAGGGATTTATGGCTGGCTGAAGTAGTGGGTTGCTCATTGGTAGAGGTGGAGGGTTGGTTTGGCTTTGAGGGTTGGCTAGTAGAAGCAACATGCTCAAGTATCCACTGGCGCTTGTTCTCCCCCTCATGAGAATCCGAATCATCGGGATCCTCATGTGAACGTTTAGCGCCACGGAGACTGTCACGGCATGTGTTCTGTGTATCTAGAACATGGAGAAGGGCTTTTTGAATAGGAGTGAGGTTGCCTTCTTCCACGTCGAGTATACGGTCGTAGATCTCAGCTACAAGATCCTCGAAGGGTACAGTTGTTAGGTTGGGTTTGGTCGTTGTAGGGGAGAATACTAGTTCTGTATCCTGGGTTCCCCTTGATGTGGATGGTTGTTGGTTTTCTATGGCTAAAGGTTTGGAAATAGGAATAGAAATGGTTGGGGGCTGTGTCGTTTGAGGTTTGGGTGGTATATCCTGAACAACTGGGGTACTTCCAGAGTCTTGTGCATTAGCGATTATTGCTTCATGCACCCATGGCTTAATGGTAGACTCTAGAAAGCTGTTCAGATATACGAGAATGTCTTCGGGGATAATGGTTCCAGTTACAGGGGTTGTAACTGTTGTCACAGCATCAGTGAAGATAGCTGATGTGTGGCCTGCGTTCAATGATCGAGGCATTGTTGGCGTAGCAGGACTTCCGACCATCATAGTTTGCACTCCGGTCGTTGCATTCAGGGTGAGTGCACCTGTATGTGCAGTGAATAGTGTAGGGGTCCTAGAG